ATTGAAAGATCATCCTAATTATTCTGCATTCTGAGTTTGTACTTATGTGTTAGGAGTTGACATATGTATTTTGGTCTCAAAATTTGAATTTATATATGGGTGTATTTCTGTGTTCTAGAGCCAGTCCTTGGAAAATGACTTAAAAGTGGAGGGTCAGTGAAACAGAGGAAGACTCTCAATTAGGTGGAATGACATAAGGACAGTGACAATGGCCTTGAACATGGTGGAGGCTGTGACACAGGATAGGGCGAGGTTCTGATTCACTGTTCCTAGGGTCACTAGGAGTTGTAGTAGACATGCTGGTACAGAACAACCTAATAACAAAAGTCTGTCTAAACTTCTGTCTTTTACAAATTGTTTTGACTTTTATATTTCTAATTTACCTTATCTTATTCAGCTAATCATTACAAATTACTCTTCTTTAGAATTTTCCTGACATTTCTCCATGGTTCTTTTTCTTTTTTTTTTTTTTTATTCAATGAATATTTTAGTGAAGGCTGACTATTGGCAAGACATTGTATTTTTCACACTCTCCCTACATTTTTTGAACGGTTTTATCTTTTTTTCTGTATTTAATTCTATTTTTAAAATTGACATTTTAATGAAAGGTTTCAGAAAACTTGGATTTCCATTCATTCATTGTTGCACATTTTCCTCTCTAGCCTCCCGGCCCCCCAAGTTAGCTTTTCTCTTTAAAAAGTTTCTTTCAATTAAGGTTGCATAGAGAAGTGTACTCGGGGGTGGGAGGTGGGGGAAGGGATGTGGGAATTGTATACTAATGAAGGAATTTTTTTTTCTTTTTCTCTTCGGAGGGGGGAGTGAGCTGGTGGGGAGGGGTGGGCAGGGAGAAAAGTGCTGCAATGAATGAATGGAAATCCAAAACCTCTAAATGTCTATTAAAATTAATAATAATTTTTAAAAATGTAAAAATAAAAGCTTCTTTCAACTGTTGCACAATTTCCTCCCTCTCTCCTGCCCTCCAGTCCACGTTGCTATGCACCTCTTATTCTGGACTGTTGTCATGCAAATAATACCTAATCATATATTTCTTTGAGACAGTTCTTTCCCTCACCGATTTAAATGCAGTGTTCCATTCTTTAGCATAGAACATGCTCCAAGAAGGGCATAGAAGACCCTTGCCCTGTTGGTGAAGGACCCTTAGCTTTTAAGATGCATCATGAAATCAGATTGTTTCCAAACCACATTACTAATTTAAGACCTCCTCCCCGCCCCAATTTTGCTTTTAGTGGTTTTTCTTATATTAACCATGAAGCATTATGCTACTCACAGTCTGTAAGCAGAGCAAAGACAATGTGGAGCCCAGCTCTGCTAACTCCTCCAAGGGGAACTGTCCTCATTAACAACATCCGTGGTCCTATAAGGTTCAGCAATGGTCCTCTCCTCTCCTGCTCTTACTTCTACTAATCAGTGGGTCTGATATTCCTTGTAAATGAACACATAGACTTAATATAATCTCTGTTTACTCACAGTTGTAAAATTAATTCATGATTCTTTTTCTATGTGAACTTGGTATAGCTAACCTAGTTCTCATCATCAAAGTCTCAGAAAATACTACTGGATTTTTACTGAGATTGCATTAAATGTATAGATTAAAGACAATAACTCTCATTTGAACCTTTTAAAGTCACTTAGGATAATTTTAGAGTTTTTTAAAAAATTAGATCTGTATTCTTTTTATTTAATTTCTTCTTTCTATTTTCTATTGTTGTTTTTGTTATTATTGTTGCTTTGGTGGTTCCTTTTCCTCCATTAATGCCTATTGTTATTATTTTTTATGAATTAAAACCTTATATCTTATATTCATTTTTAATGTAATTATCTTTCTTGTCATTTCTAATACTGTTAGCTAACTATTTTAGATCAGCTTATTAGTTACTAATATATTTTGGAAATTAACTAGTCAAGAGATACCTTTGTCATTTATAGTCAATGTCTTTACTATGCCTCGTCTGTAGGGAGACTGGACTCCTAACCCAAAGATCCTTGTTAGGTTTGGATCTACCAGCAACTCCACAGGAAAAAGATAGATAGGCAGTCTTCTCCTGTGTGCAATTTACAGCCATTCAGAAACCTACTAGAGTGTCAGTTATTAGTGACTGAGTGAGTTACTATGCCTAATAGATCATGTAGGAGTCTTACGGAGAGTGGGAGCCAAGTATAATAGGTATTTCTATGAACAACTAATGAAGAATTAAAATAGAACTCAGTTTGCTGATGTCACAATCATGAAAAGACTCTTTTGTCCCAGTTTCCTATGAGGACTCACCAGTGTTGGAGTGTGACATTGGGATGAGACGAAGTAGATGGTCAGAAAGGTTCTTTTTCTATTATTTTTTTTTAAAAAAACCAATGCACAGCATTTTTGTCCAAGCCTTCCATAGGGTGGTGGTTGTTGTTGTTGTTAAGTGCCGTCAAGTTGCAGGCGACTCATAGCGACCCTATGAAGGACAGTCCTTGACTCTTGGGTGCCTTTCATCCTCTCTCCAGGTTCATAGGGTTTCCAGAGGCAAGCTATTATGGAAGTGGATGCCACTCCTCCTTCCACGCTTGTTTTAATCAGGGAGCTCCACCCCACTCTCTGTCTGCATTGTGTAGCCAACCATTAATGCATTTGACACCTTCCATAGTATGTTGTTGTTATGTGCTGTTGAGTACTGAAAATTTTAAATTGTAAGCATCCATGGTTTCACTGGAGAAACAAGATAATTATAGTTTTGTGACAATTGTTGGGGTATTTTAAGAGAGACAATAGTGACTAGTTGAAACCAAGAAAACAACTTTGATCCGGCACATTTGTTATTGTTGTATACCATCAAGTCAGAACCTACTCATAGCTGACCCTCCAGTGGGTTTTCAGAAGCAGTAAATTGCATAGGAGGAGATGGCTCCTCTTTCTCTATGAAGCAGGTAGATAGATTTGAACCACGAGTCCTTGCGTTGGCAGTACATATGCTCACCACTAAGGAACCAGGGACCCAGTTCATAAAAAACTAAAATAGCGTGAATATGGTCCATTTTGATACTGAACTTGTGGTAGCTTTGAAACCTTGGTCTTTCAAATATTAGCAGATGAGTCTTATGGCTATGAGGGCTAGAGGAACCTCAACGGGAGGTGTCAAGAAGGAAACACTCAACCTTAAAAATGCTGGTAGTTAACAAGATTTTTTTTCTACTTAAATCACAAACATAATTAAAAGAGATAATGGATAGAGAAGATAGGTGATTATAATCTGAGAGGAAACAAACACTTTAGACCACAGTCAAATGCCCTGTTATGAAGGCTGTAGATACGTGACCACCCAAATCTTCTACTGAAGTCAAGAATCTAAGTTGGATTGATTACAGTCAATCTTGCTTGGTTTGTAGATGCTGAAATGACCTATGTACTAGGCAAAAAACCCACCCAAGCCAAAACAAAACTAAGGCCCACACTATAGTGTTCAAAGGAAGGTGGTGGGGAGCAGGGTGTGTCCAAGTGTGGTGAAAATGAATATTGTTTAGAAACTGAGGTGGACAGTGGATGTATTGGTAGGTGCTGGGGTGGATGTTGTAGCTACATGATTGTGTCTCCAAAGACTCTAGATTCCAGAGTTTATCCCAAAATACTCATGAGTAGGACATTGGATGGGTTCAATATTTTGACTCTCACTCTTCTTACACAGAGAGACAGCTGAAATCCTTGCAACTATCAAAGAGAGGCACATACAGACTTCAAGTTCACCAATTATTCCCTCTCTAGTTCAACAGACATGAATTTCAAGACTATGTCTGTGTGCAAGGGCGCAGCTGGTGGACACAGTTCAAATAAAACACACTCTCCACCCTGGATGTTGATGCAGGCTATTTTCCCTTCCAAGGCTACATTAGAATTTAGGGTTTTTAGAGAATAACCATTTTCCCCCCTAAAAATTACGCTATTTATTGGTGATAAAGTTCAAATATCCATTGATTATCATTTCCATCTTTCAAGTAAGTAGAAGCTATTTGTTTTGTTATTGAGTGTTGATAGCAATGCTCTCTTTCTAGCCCTGGAGTGAATGCTTGGGACACTGGAGGAATGGGAATGTTTCCAGAAGTACAGGGAGGTGGAGTTTCTAAAGGAAGGGATGAGAGCAAGGAAGATGGGTGAGGTAGACAAGCTGTATAAATGAGAACGAAAGGAAGGGCCAGAATGGGGAGAGGATTACAAGGCAGTAGCGTACGGGAGTCAAGGAGGAAGCACTGCTTGATGAAACTCACATCCGTGAGCTGGAAACACAGTGCAAGGGCTTTAGGCCACTGGTGGGATTACAATTCTCTAGAAAGTTCGGGATGAGAGGTAACTCAACCAAGAAGGCGACGATCCCAGATAAATGCACTCAAACAGCATCACCTCTTGGGATATCCTTAAAGATAGAATCACCAAAATAAAGTTTAATGATGTTCAGGAAGGAAGAATAAGGTGCAGCACTCTGTGGACCTCCCGGATCCAAATAAAAGCTTAAGGTGATTGCAAGAGACTGTCCTCCCATAGGTCGGGCCATGTGTGGTCTCAGCAATGCAAGATAATGCACGTCCCCAAGCACGTAAGGCCTGCTAGGCTCCACCACGTCACTGTGCCTTCACCTCTGCAGCTCATAAGGATGGAGCTGTCTGCCGGCCCTTGCTTGCTCTCTGCCCAGTCTCTGAGCTTCTGCCCAGTCTCTAGGCTTCCTACAGTTCACTCATCTAGCCCTTGTACCCTCTTGGGGGCCAGGTAGAATGGCTCCTTCTCCCCTGTTCAGTCTTCCTTTCCATGCCTTACTTCGGAATCTTTTCAATACATTCATGGGAGCACTTCACCTCGTCACCCCACTCTCTCACAGCCCTTACCCCTCTATGGACCCTCACCACATGCAGTTGCTTCCACAGGCAGAATCAAGGGTGTAGTCCAAGGGCACATCGATGGTGGAGAGAACAATATAAAGCTCAAGAGACTTGAGGAAGGTCCCCAAACTCACCAAGTGCAGGGTGTCTGCTTTCTGTGTCTGTCTCTGTCGGCTCTTCTGGGCAGCAATGCGATTTTTCTCCCTTCTTTGCACTTTTCTCACGTCATCCGTTGAGTCCTGGGAAGCAGAGATGATGAGAATTGGATGAACTTGCTCCTCTCTTCTGAATTAAAGCAGGATCTCATGGTGTTTGGTGTTCATCCATTCATCCATTTTTTCATCTCTTCATCCACTCACTCCCTCATTCGCCCACCTACTATTTAACAAGAGCCTGCGCCCACAAGAGAACTATTGTCTATATCAGTTATTTGTGATTCCCCCCCCCCAAAAAAAAAAGAAAAAAGCTTACACAAGATACCTCCTGCCCACAGCGAACTGTGTTTTGACAAAAATGGTTAAGGTGATGAAATACATTTTACCACCTGCCATTCTCCTTAGAACTGCTCCACCCTTATTCCCTTCACTGCCTGACCCAGAGCCTTCTTGAAGTTTCTTTTTTCCTTTGTTTTTATTTTTAAAACTTTTGTTGGTCATGTGTCAGTCTCTGTACAACTGCCTTCCCAGAGGTGCTCATTTAATGTTCCAGTTTTTGTGAAGTTGGTATTATTATTCCTATTGCATATGTGTGAGAACAGAGGCTCAGAGAGTTCATCCAAGAGGCCGTGGTCATCAGAGAATAGTATCTTCTGGTGCTAAGTCAGTTATTCTTCCAATTCACCCCCTTAGCCTTCCGCTGACTGGTTGTGCCCCAAGCTTCTGCTTGGACTGTCTCACTATTACACTTGGAGTCTCTTTTCCTGCCTCTCTAGGCTGAGGTCTGCCCCCCACTCCCCAGAGCAGCCTTTTCTATCCCTGTATACCCTCCATTCCATCCGCCTCAGACCTGAACACAGCACGTAACCACAGACTATATGCCAGATGCCAGCTAGAGTGATTTTAATGGTGGTGATCTCCTGGTTGTTCAGGTAGTGGACATTGCCTGGGGGACAAGGAGACCTTAGAACATTCATCTAAGTGCATTTTAGAGATGGACCCGTCCTCTGCTTGAGTAGAGGAGTTTGTTAGCTCCAGTTTCCCCTCAGATGCCACTGAGAAAAGTGCAGGAATCTGAGCAAATCCCTCCTGTACCCCGATCTCATTCCCTCTCACATCCTCATGAGCTGGAGGCCCAGGGATCATGTGTCACGCCAACGTGCCCACTCTTCCAGAGGCCAAAGGGTTAGATAGGAAGGAGGCACTCTTCCTCTGAGAGCATGGGGAGCTGCGTTACCATGGAAGCCATGAGTAATTTCCTTCCTAAGAAGAATACAGCTTCCAGGCAGCCCCAGCCACTCTGATACCATCTTGAGCCGAGGCCTGACTAGTCTGCCCTCTAGAGGTCCCCACTGGAATGTCTCCCAACCTGTTGCTCTTGGTTCAACAGCTCTGCAAAGTGTTTGCCTTATATGTTTATGTACTATTTTGGCGGCAACACTTTGAAAGTCTTCCTGTGCTAAGGGGAGGATAGCGTTTTTAAATGGCAAAGATGTAAGCCACTAACGTATTGGAGGCGAAAGAGGGTTTCCTATAGAGAGGGATGGCAAGGATTGTGATGGAGAGAAAGCCCCAGAAGATTGGAGGTAGGCAGGGTACTCTAATTTGGTCAACCTTTAAGCTGAAGACTTCAGTCATATAAGTCCTAATACAGGCTGCAGATGCCCCAGAACCCAAACCCCATGCTCTCTGGTTTCCCTAGGGTAGAACTGATGGCTAACAAACGTCTTCAATACTTTTTCACGGCCAACTCCTGATTATTCCCTCTCTCCTGTCCAAAAACCATGGAAGAAAGTATTGTCACAGTCCCAGCATCCCTACTCTCTAACTGTGTCAGCAACCCAGCAACGCCCTGCACGTCCCTCTGTACCAGCCTGGCTTCCCCATCTGCCTACTTCAATTTTTGCTCAAACTTCTGCGGGACCCCCTTTTCCCCTCTTGCCCTATCAGCTCTCTCCTAGGGAGCAATTTCTCGAGGATGTGGGTTCTGCCTGCCGGCATCCCAGCTTAGCTTTCCTCCTCTCCTCTTGTCTCAAAACAACTAGACCTTTCCAAGACATCAAAGTTCTTGGATGCTCCCTCTGTCCTTGGCTTCCTAGAAAGCTTCATGGGTGGAAACCACAATGGGGAGGAGGTGATAGGGCAGCAAAAGGAGCTTTGGCAAAATGAATGGGAGCTTGGGTGGCTCTGCAAATATGAACAGCTCAGTTGCAGATACCATGTCTTAAGTGTTCGAGAGAGCTGGTACCATTAGCCACTCCCTCGTTCCTTGGGTTCCTGGGCAGGCTGAGCAAGACGTCTCATCTCCCTGGCCCCTCAGGAGGCTCAGAAGGTAGGAGAGAGGGAAAGGAGGGACGCTCAGCTCAATTGCAGAGACACTGACTCAAGTATAATAGAGAGCTGGTACAATGAACCACTTCCTCGCTCCTTGGGTTCCTGGGCAGGCTTAGCAAGATGTCTCATCTCCCTGGCCCCTCAAGAGAATCAGAAGGTAGGAGAGGGGGAAAGGAGGGATCTACCTGCTTGCCGGGGGGAGGTGAGCGGCTGAAGCTGGAGTCGCTGCTGTCGGAGCTATGAGGCATGGCTGAAATCTTCCGGGCTCGAGCACACAGCACCAGGAGCCTCTGGCTCTCTTGTCACCACCTGGCTTCCCTTCTTGACTGTCCCTGGAGCCACTAGCCCAACTCTGGTCCCTCCTCTGCCGGCCCTGCAGCCACCTGCGACCCCTGTGTCCTCCTCACTCTGGGATGCAGAGGCACTGCCCCCCACAGTGACATGTCGTTCGCTTTGGGGTTTGCTCTCTCTCTTGTGGTTTCTGGTTAACTCACGCTGGAAGTCACATGGGCGGAAACTTAAACATGTTCGAAGTTAACTTGAGAGAGAAAATACAGATCTGGGAAAAGACCCAGAGAATTATGTGAAAGAGAAAAAAAAAATACACAAAACCCCAGGTACCTTCTGACAGTTTGAAAGGCAGAGCAGCCCTCTTCCATTGATGAAGATAAAAAGAGAAAAACAGCTCAGGGAGGGAAAACCCCCAGCCAGAATTAGCAAGTCAGTCTTCTGTCAACAGGGCCAGAGAGCAGAGGACAAGAGGAAAAGAATTTCCATTGTCACACGACTTGGGTTTTGTATCAAAATAAAGCAACACGTCTGGGATTTCTCTCTGGTTTTCACCCGAAAGCAGCCTGCCCATTAGGACTTGCTTATTCCGCTTATGAGCCCTGAGGGGGTCTGGGCTCAAGGGACAGGGGGCACTTCTTCTCCTGCCCACCATTGAGAAGAGGGCTGTGGTGAAGCTGACCCCACAGGGAATGCTGCTGGGTTGATAATCTCCAATCAACTCATCACTAAGTCTCCTCCAAAGGTGTTCTCATTCTCTTGTCAAAAAGGATGCAGCCTAGGCTGAGGGTGGGATCCTTGGTTGGTGCAACCAGTTAACACACTCAGTTGCTAAATGAAATGCTAGAGGTTCGAATGCATCCTGAGGTGCCTTGGAAGAAAGGCCTGGAGATCCTTTTCTGTAAATTTACAGTAAAACCGAAAACTATGGAGTATAGTTCTCACACACTGCAGTCAAGAGTTGATTGGGTGGCAACTGGTCCTGGGAAAGGTGAGGGTCTTTCAGAACTCAACACTGGACTTGGCTCTTCAAGATGCAAGAGTGTCACCAGGTCTGAGCCCAGAATGGAGACATAGTAATGGCTGGCACTGGGCCCTAGAGTTGGGTCAAAGAGAATTTGAAGTCTGTCTCTACCACTCAGTATGTCTGTGGCCCTGGGAAAGTCACTTAAGTTCTATGATCCTTAGTGTGCTTACCTGGAAATGGAAATTGGTGGTACGATGTGTTACATCTTACACTACTATCTGAAAGATTGGTGGTTCGAACCCAGCACACATTCTGTGGAAGCAATCGCCTCCTGGGAAGGCTCGCAGCCTATTGGAGGGTTGCTATGAATTGGGATTGACTTGGTGGCAGTTGTTTTTGTAAATAGAGGATGATAAAACCTTCCCTCCTATCTTTCACATTCAGAGCAACTCGTTGTTGTTGTTGTTGTTAGGTCCTGTTAAGTATGACTCATAGGGACCCTGAACAACCGCTCTGAATCCTGTGCCATCCCCATAGTCTCTGTTACACTTGAGCCCATTGCTGCAGTCACTGTGTCAATCCGTCTCGATGGGGGTCTTCCTCTCTTTCGCTGACACTCTACTCTTCTGAGCATGATGTCCTTACTCATAGCAACCCTATAAGTCAGGCTAGACCCGCACCATAGGGTTTCTAAAGCTGTAATGTTTATAGGGTCGCTATGAGTTGTAGTTGAGTCAACAATACCTAACAATAACAATGTGAGTCAAAGGGAGCACTGGTGCTGTAGAACTGGGAGGATTGTGCTGCACACCTCTAGAGGTTCATTTCCGCCAGCAACTCTGAGGGAGCAAAATGGGCAGTCTCCTCCCACTGCAATTTACGGTCTTGAAAACCCTATGAGTCGGAACCCCCTTGATGGCAGTGAGTGAGTGAGTGAAGAGTCAAAATCAACTCAACAGCAATGGGTTTGGATCCAATCCCCTTTGCGCTTGCCTTTCAGTGAGTTGTTATTGTTATGTGCCGTCGAGTCATTTGCAACTCATAGCGACCCTATGTACAACAGCCCTAAACCCTGCTCTATCCTGTGCCAATCGCATTGCCTCTGACACACCCATCCCGATTACCCCAGTCACTGAATCAATCCACCTCATAGAGGGTCTTCCCCTTGCGCTGTCCCTCTACCCTACCAAGCATGATGTCCCTCTCCAAGGACCTGTCTCTCCTTACATGTCCAAAATATGTCAGACGAAGCCCCAGAATTCTTGCCTCCAAGGAGTAGCTTGATTTAACCCTCTCTAGGATGGATCTGTTTGTTTTCTTGGCAGTCCATGGAACATTCAATACTCTTCTCCAGCACCACAGCTCAAAGGTGTCAATTCTCCTTCTATCCTCCCTAGTCATTGTCCAACTCTCTGATGCATAACAAGTGATTGCAAAAACCATGGCCTGTATCAGGCACACCTTAGTCTCCAGAGAGACAATGTTGCTCTTGAGTGCTTTAGAGAGGTCCCTAACCACAGACTTTCAGTGAGAAACAAGATGAAAATGAGTGTTAGAATACCCCCAGCAAATTTTAAGGTCGTGAGGTTCAGCGGTGGGACTCTCATCTTTCATGCAGGAGACTCTGGATTGACTTCTGGCAAGAGAGCTTCATTACAGCAACCACCTGTCTGTCAGTGGAGGCTGCAGAGTGGTTGGCACTGTGCAGTTTACAGCAGAGCTTCTAGACTAAAAAGACTGGCTAGAAAGGACTGGAAATCTACTTCTGGAATCCAGCCAGTGACTAGATCACAATCAAGCCTTCTGTCCAACTGCTTTATTACTTTAATCTTGTCAGTGATAGGTATTAAAGGCAGATTCTACAATTTAAAGGGAAAGCAAATGAGGCAGAGAATGTTTGAGACTGGCCCAAGGCAAATGGCTGAATAGGGTCTGAATTCAAGCAGTCTAATCCTGGAATTGTGCTAATTTAATTGTGCTAATACGAAACCTATTCAGAACAGAGCAAGGTAACACTGCATGGTTCAAAATTGGGAAGGGTGTACGCCAGGGATGCATCCTGTCTCCATACCTTTTCA